TGCCTTCCAGGGAGGCAGGGCCATGAGCTTTAAGGGGCCCTCTTATCTCTACTCCTCTCTCTCTGTAGGAGCACTGAGATTGCAAAAGCATGCCACATCTGGCAGTTCATGGGATTAGGAAATTTGAACTCAGGTCTTCATGACTCCATGGCAAATGTTTTACCCACTGAGACATCTCCCCAGTTTTTACTCTATAGCTTTAAAAGTAGAAGTGACAGTATTTTGTAACCATTATGATAGCTCTTACCAAGAAAACAGAAAGTACCATGTGTTGTTTGAGATGTGGAGAGATTGGGACCACTGCCCAATTGGTGGGAATGTAAAAACGATGCAGCTGTTAAAGTTAAAAGTATTGGTGATCCTAAAATAAATTCTAAAAGAGGTGCCATGTGATCTGGCAGCCTAATTTCTCAATATAGATACACCAAACAATTGAAAACATGATTCAAGCAGACACTTATGCATCCATACTTATAGTGGCATCATATAAGTAGCCAAAAGATAAAGGAACCCATGTGCCTGTCCATTGACAGATGAATGACAAAATGTGGCATAGAGAATGAAATTATGAGTACAATGGAAGGAAATTCTGACACATTGTACGAAGATAAGCCAGTGATAAAAGGCTATAAGACTCCACTCATGGGAGATACTTGGTCAGACTCATAGAGACAGAGTAGAATGGTGGTTGCCAGAGATGAGAAAAGACGATGAGCTATTGTTTAATAGGTACCAAGTTTCAGTTTAAGAAGATAAATATGCTGGGGCTGGACAGGGACCATGGTTCCTCAAAGTGTGAATTCACTTAATACCACCGATCTATTTACTTTAAGATGCTTACAATGGCAGATTTTATACTTTATTATAGTAAAAAGAAACCCAGCAAAAATATTACATAAATGTATTGAATTAGTCTCTCCTTTGAAAGATAACTGATTATGAACAAACTCAAGTTGTAAAAATGAAGGTAAACCCAATCTAGTACATCCCTCCTCCTCCGTACAGCCTTCTCCCTCTCACTTTGGGAAGGAAAACCAACAATTATTTGTTGACATATTTCATTTTTTTCTCATTCTTAGGAACCTCGGTAGCTAGGTGTAGTGGCCTACACTGGTAATCCTAGCTTGAAAGGTGGATGTGGGAACACTGAGAATTCAAAGCCAGCCTAGGCTATATTGCAAGATCCTGTATCAAGGCAGAGGGGCCCTAAAGTGATGGCTCAAAAGGACATGGGCTGCTCTTCCAGGGACTAGGATTTAAGTCATAGTAACTACATGGCAGCTCACAACCAACTAACTCTAGTGCCAGAGGATCCAGCACATTCCAGCGTTTTTTGGGAACTGCATACATGTGACACAAACATACATGCAGACAAAATATCCACAGACATACAATAAAAAATAAATCCTTAGCCAGGTGGTGGTGGCACATGCCTTTAGTCTCAGCACTCAGGAGGCAGATGCAGGTAGATCTCTGTGAGTCTGAGACCAGCCTGGTCTACAGAGTGAGTTCCAGGAACAAGCTCCAAAGCTACAGAGAAACCTTGTCTTGAGAAACAAAAATAAAATAAAAAATAAATCATTAAAAAGGAGGAGGGAAGCACGTTGGAAAGAGGAGGAAGAAGAGACAGAGAAAGAGAAGAGGGAAAGATGAAGCAAGAAATGTCAATCAAACTCAGAAGCATACAGTTGAATGGTGGCCCCATGGAGTGGAGATGGGATGGGGATGTGAGTGAGGAATGGAGACATTGGTCAAAGGGTTCGTGAGGTTGGAATAATCAATTCTGGATATCTAAAGAATCGGATAGTGATTATGGCCACTAATACTGTAGTATTATTGGAGTTTTCTTGAAGTTTACTATGACAGTAAATCTTAAATGTTCCCACCTCACAATAAGAAAGAAAATGGTAATATAGAAGGTGATGTGATGAATATGGCAATTATGTTGGGTGACCATCTCATAGCATATATCTACATCAGAACATCAAGCCGTATGCCTTTAACTGTACATAACTCCTTTTTCTCAATTATACCATAATCGATCTGGAGATAAAAGAACTTTCCCCTTTGATGCCAATAAAGGCTTTTTGAGGGAGGGGTGAGGAAGCCAAACAATCTTTTCAAACAATGAGTTAAATTCTTCCCCCTTAGCACCAAGGTTCCTTGTTGTTCTCACCTGCCAGGGAGGGTTTGTTTACCTGCCAAGTATGTGAAGGGCTTCTTCGGATGGGAAAACATAAATTTTAAACTAGAACATCTGAGTGATATTTTAAAGGTTTGATTTTATTATTTTTTAATCATGTGAATGTACATATCTCTGTGTAAGTAGTATGTGACTGTTTGCACCTGTGAGGTCAAAGTCTTTGGATCCCCTGTAGCTGAGGTTACATGCACTTGTGAGTCCCCTGATACTGGTGCTGGAACCCACATTGGGTCCTGTGGCAAAGCCTTGTGTGCTCTAAACCCAGCCACTTTTGCAAATGTCAGACACTTCTTCACCCCTCTTCATCTACCATCTCCGCCTTTGAAAGCTGACCTGAGCATTCCTTATGTCCACACACAAGAAGCTTCCCAATGCAGGCAAGCACAGCATGGCTGCCTTGTTCAGGTCCTGTTTGTTCAGGGTTGTCATCCTCCTGGCACAGAAAGTGTTCAGACTCGGGTGGCAGCTGATGCAGGCTTCAGTTGGGACTTAAAGCTGCCACGGTGAGAGTGTCAGCATGATGATATTTAGTGGGTACCTTTCAGGAGAATGACAGGAAGAGGTCACAAGGAGGCTTTTACAGGCGGTGCCACACCATGTTCCAGGATTTGAGTGCTGGTGTGTTACTTTGTAAACTAGTTTGGGAGGGGAAGACCTTTTTTGAAAACTTGTCCTCTGAGCTATCCTCTGAACCATACAGTGTAAACACACACACACACACACACACACACACACAATAAATAGGAATAAAAACGAGCAAATAAAGGAATCATATGAGTAAAAGTCTGAAGAAACTAGAATAAAATGGCTTTGTAATGCATAGCATTCTTGGTGTTGGCTACTTTAGTCTTCCTCTAAATTCGTGTGAAGTCTTGAGAAGGTCACACTTTCAAAGTCTTGGATGGGAAATCACCAAGACAAAAAGTCAATCCCAATCCCGCGCCATGTCTCCCTGTCTATGTGGTCCTGCGAAAGTTACTTGACCCATCTAAGCCATTATCTCCTATTTTAAAGTAGGGTTGTTAGGGGAACTGAGGCCAGATGTGATATGTGCATACTTCCGGCACACCTGAAGCGCTCCCAAAACATTGGTTACCATAATTATTAATGCAGGAAGAATTCGCTTGCTTACACTGTTTTAGAACCTCTGAAAGGTCTCACAGCCAAGAATGATTAACATAAGACAGTTTCAGAAGCAGCCCAACTCATCAGGTTTGTATTCAGTGACCACTGTGCTCCTTCTCAGAACAACCCCAGGGGGAGCTCTTGGTGCATGCAGAACCAAGGCTTCCTGTCCCATTACACTCTACTCCACAGCTTCCTGCTAGAGCCTTGGAAAGGAAGGGCCCCCGCTCTTCAGAACACTTCTGACTATTAACCATCCAAAACCAGGGAAAGAAAACTGCATTTCCCTCTCAGGACATCTCCCCTAGTGGTATAGCCAGGTGCTGGAGCCTTGGGTGCGGGGTGGGGATGGAGCTGGGGGAGGAGGCAAGGGGTGAGACAGGAGAGAGATTCTTGTTCATGGTGTCTTCCCTCTGTGCTGATCAGAGCGCAGGGACCGCCAGCCAGCTTCAAGCTAAGAAGGGGTAGCCGGGATGAAAGGGAAAGAAATAACCTGCCCACCAGGCCAATGGACCCTGGGAACTCTCCTGCTGCACCTGCTACCCAGGGAACACTTCTCAGAGAATGACTCCTAGGCTCTGCCTACTGCAACATCCCGTGTCCGGCCCCCACCCCCTGTGCTGTGGCAGATGCGAGCCGAGAGTGGCCCGGCCCGCACACCGCGGGAACCAGCGTGCAGCGGCGCCCACCCGCGCTGCCTGGAGGGCCCAGGGCGGTGCCGAGCACAGATGGCGCTCTCAGCTAGATGATGCTCCAGCGCCTCAGCCACTCCAGGCTCAGCACAGCATCCCAGAGGCGAAGCTGTTTTCAGATCCCACCTCTGAGCTAGGGCCGGGAAGAAGCTCTATCCAGTCTGTCTCTCGAACCCTGCACGCCAACCCTGACAAGCCCCTGTCCTCAGAGGCTGGGTGTGGTGAGGGGGACTGCCAGGGCCCTCACCTGGAGGCCAGCAAAGCCTCCTGCAAGTGTCCCTAGCGCGGTGGCGTCTCCCAACATCTATGCTGTTCTCCTCTGATGTCCCCGAGTCCACGCCAGGGCTGGGAGAGCCGAGGAGGGCAGTCAGTGTCACCCTCTGAGCGCGGCGATTCGCTCAGGTGTGAGCACATCTGAACAAAGCCCACGCCCAGATGTGTCCGCGGGGACACGAACGCGCGCACGCCGCTGCGCGCCCCGCGGGACTCAAGCGCTCGTCGTCCTGCGACCCTGTCTTGCGACACTCCGGGTCCTCCGCTTCCCAGCCCGGAAAGCTGTGTGCTGCCCTTCTATCTGTCCACGGGCAGACCCCGAGGCAGGGCTTCCGGGAAGGCGCTGGGCACCGGCGCCCAGACAGAAGTTGACCTGGGACCTAAGGAGCTGGTGGGCGCCCGCCGGCGACACCGGAGATGCGGGGTCTGAGCCGCGTCCCCCCGGGCGCGCGTCTCCTTTCTCCAGCGGGCGCCCGCGGCTGTGTCGGCTGTGTCGAGGGGCTTGCAAGGCAAAGCCAAGTCGCCGACCTGTGTCGCCCGAGCCGCAGACGCTGCCAGACTCCCACAAGAGCCCGGGCTGAGCCCCGGAGCTGGTGTCCGAGTGACAACGCGGCAGCCTCCGGCTCCTCGCTTCGCTCCAACCGCGTCCACCCCACCAGGACTAAGTGTCACCGGTGCCACCGCCAGACACACCCAGGGCTACTCACGTTTTCGCGCCACGCCCACCGTCCCGCCGGGGCGCTACTGCCCAAGACCCCGAAGCGCAGCTGTCGTGCGTGTTTCAGAAGCTGTCGCCTCCAGCTGCCCCAGTCCGGCTGTCCCTGCGAGGTCCCTCGCTCCCGCGCGTCTGAAGCTCGGACTGCTGCGCGCGTCCGCCGGCGACCCAGGCGAAGCGCGCGTCCCCGCCGCTCCCGCCCTCTGTTCCCCTTTCCCAGCGTCGCTCTCAGGCCCCTCCCGACTCTCATAGCGTCCCCGCGTCCCCCTCCCCCGCACTCTCCGGGCGTCTCCCGCCCCTTCCCCTCCGGGCCAACCCCCTCCCTCCCGCAGCCGCGGCTCCAGCAAATGGGCTCCAGCGTTGTGCGCCCTGGGGACTGGGTGGCCCCCTCACCTGAGCGGTCGCGCCACTGCGGACCTTCGCCACCGCTCAGAGCAGGAGGTGGTGGCTGTGGGGGTGCCAGGAAGGCAGGACGTGAGTGTTCAGGGGGACCTATAGACTGGGAGATGTCAACAGAAGATGTTCCAGAAAATGTTTTAAATGCCACTCTCCTCGGTTTAGATTTGCGTGTGATGGATGGATCTGGATCACTCACGCATCTCTTCCCTCCTCTCACCTCCAATCCTCTCCTCCCCCTTAAGCATTTCATGCCTTTGAGACTCTAATTGGGATGGGGTGAATACTGTTTTACAACTGACCTTTCCAAATGCACTTGAGGAAGGGTCCCTGTACCATTTAAGCAGTCGCTATTTGCAGGAGGAATTGGATTTCCGGAGTAATCGAAATTGGCTTTTCAAATTGCAGAATATTATACACGTGCTTTTTTTAAATGAAAAAATAAGAACTTTGTTTTTCGCAGATGTGTACAATTTGAGCAAACACACTGCATACTACACAATTCAGGCTCTGGAGCCCCCTGCAGCACCATGCAGCTCGACGATGTCCAAGACACATAGCCGGACACTTAGTCTGGACCCACTCCCAGGCTGACCTTTTACTTTGGGAGCCTCTCACCAGCCTCCAGGCCCCCAGAACAGGTATTAGAACGGAGCTCCTGCTCATGAGTCCTGACAGCTCCTCTGCCCTCTGTAACTTTAATCTGATCTCAAGCTTCAACCCACATGCTCTCAAGTGGTTCTCTTCTCTCTCCTGCTGCCAAACACACAGGGCCCCCTTCATATCCTCAGACAGTACTGTGATCTCTCGCGACGCTGTCATTGCCCACACAATTTTCTTACTTCTGTCCCTCTTCTAAACTTTGGCTCTTACTCCACCACAATTTGCGTACTTCACACCTGTATTAATTTTCTTCAAGAATAGCAAGAGAGAGAGAGAGAGAGAGAGAGAGAGAGATGATGATGATGATGATGATGATGACATTGTAGCAAAAAAAAAGATATAGGCTAACTGTTTTGTTTTGTTCTGTAAAAATAAACCGAAGAACTCTGGTATGCCTAGCAATCTACACACAACTCACCTTTTCATCCACTGGTGATGGGAATTTTCCTAAGCCTCTATCTAGAATATTCTCTCTCTCTCTCTCTCTCTCTCTCTCTCTCTCTCTCTCTCTCTCTCTCTCTCTCTCTCTCTCTCTCTCTCTCTCTCTCCATCTGGAAAACTCTAGTTCAACCTTCGAAGCCCTGACTCACTCGGTCCCTCTTTTGTGGATTCTTTTCTGGGCCCCTGTGTGTCACATGTTAATGGTCAGATTTCATATCTAGCTCCAAAAATGATTCCAGGTCTTTAAGATCAATTTGTCTCTATTTAATTTTCCATCAACAGATGTGAAGCTGCAAACTACCATACTAACCTACACCATTCTTCATCATTCCCACCTCTGTGATGGCATCTGGGTTTCTTAGTTCCCTATCCTATAAGTGACTGCTGAGAGACATGGGACATACCTGCCTGTCTTTCTCACGCCCAGCTCTGAGGTCTGGTGCTGTCCCTTCACTTCAGCTACTGAGACTGGGCCTCGGAAGTTTCCTGACCACATTCATTGAATCGTGTAGGACAAACCTGTGAGGTAAACATTTTATGGCCACCTCTCTTCAGTTCTTGATCTGTCCCCTGGGCACCGAAGCAACATGTCTTGTGCCTCCCTTGTGCCACTCAGTCTGGTCTATGAAGCCAACATGTGACAGACAGAGTGAGGTCCTAGTGAGGCGCAGGCCAGTCCTGATTCCTCTGAGACCAGTTAGGATAAGAGCTATTCAAGTGTCGTAATCGAATCTCAGGCAAGTGACAGGTTCTTTGGGCACAGTTCACCCCATCTATTTGTAGAACATTAACACACAGAGTTGCTATGAGGCTCAATGTAAACACTGGAGAGTGTATAGACTGTTGTAGAAATGCAGTCTGCAGAGAAAAATGACACCTAACTTCATTACGTCAGCTGTATCTGCTTGCAAGAGACCATCAGGCCTGCCCATGTTGACTGTTAACATTCCCCCATAGAAGGAAGGTGTGTGTGTGTGTGTGTGTGTGAGAGAGAGAGAGAGAGATGGGGGGCATTAGACCCTCACTGATCATCCACTGTTAACATTCCCCCATAGAATGAAGGGGTGTGTGTGTGTGTGTGTGTTGAGAGGGTATTAGACCCTCACTGATCATCCATCTGTCCCAGCCATTTGTATGCAATTCTGCCCTAATTGCACATGGCCTCAGGAGGTGATAGAATATATTGGCTGAGGAACACTAATTGAATCGGGAGCTCCACCTATGTGACTGTGGGGAAGTCACTCCCCGTGCTGAGTGAAGACTTCTCACTGTGATTGCTCTGGGGTCACCCACACTCCTGTTAGCTACCCCTTACCTGTGCTTTGTAAGTAAGACCAATTATCCACATGGGGCCTCCAGGGTGACCTTTCCTGAGGTTGAGCTTTGTTTTGTCATTTAGGACCTTTTGAGGAATGAAGACACCCTCACAATAAGGACTTACTAAGTGCTCTGGAAATTCAAGTTTGAACAGCAATACTTGATATTTGTGAAATAAATACATGCTTCAATTAAAATCTCAGCAAAGAAAATTTATTTGGAGGGAATGATACCCTGAAATTAAAATTAAATGGTTTTTATAGGATATAATAGTTATAGTCACATGAAATCGTGTAGTTTTGATTTCCAGTTTATTGTTTCAACCACACGGCAACCCTACATTGCTAGGGATTATTCTCCTGGAAGATGAACAGACTACAGGGTGAATCAGACAGATGCAGCCTAAGAATGGTTTGGTTTGGAAAAGGATTAGGGAGCTGAGTGGGCAAAAGGGCTTTGTAAAGCAGTCTGTGGGACTTGCTGGGTGGCACACAAGACATTGTGATGCGACTGCATCTTTCTGCAACACAATTGCCCAGTTATCCTTCCTCTCTCTAAGCCTGTCCTCTGGCCATTCCCTGTCCCAGGCTTCCCTCCAACCCCTGACAGTAACAACAGAACTTTGCTGAGCTCACCGCTGTTATGTGCACTTCGCGCTTATTCAAACATTTCATCTGATGGCAATTCCATACAGGGTGTGTTATGTCATCCTCCATCCAGAAAACGAGACAAGCGAGGTGAAGCATCGTTTGAAAGGGTACACAGCCCGCAGAAGAGGTGGGATTCAAACTTAGCCACTGTGTCACGCTGCCTGTTGATGAGAGCACACAGTGTGTTTCTTTCCCTGGAGAAGCAGAGTACGTCCCTGCCTTAACGCATCTCCATCAAGAGCCTTGGAGCCCTCCAGTGGCACCTGGGGAGAACAAGCCTTAGCCTCTCCTTTCTTCCCTTCCCTTGTTGCTCCCTTTGCCTTCTTTTCTTATCCCAATTTGCTTACAGATCCCTACTGCAGGCATCCTAGGCCTGCCTCAAGTTTTCTGAAACCAGACACACGCCCAGCTATGCTGGCAATAGTCCGTGTGCCCACCAGCAAGTCACTTCCCAGCCCCATCCGCTCCAGTCATGTGACATGAGTCGTTTAGATGAGGTGGACACAGACATTTGGTATTAGCTGTGTCCTTTTCGGGGTAGCCCAGAACATCTCTTTCACCAACGCCCACACCCTGACAAAACTCAAATGAACGGCTGGTGAATTCCAGGTCAGAAAAGTAACAGCACTTAAAACCCCTCTTATGATAACATCGATAAGCCATCGGCTAGAAGACTGGCATTTACCTGTGTCACCAGTATGTATGTTCAGACTCTTCCAATGACCAGAACTGGCCAGGGCAGTGGGTTGTCACTCCTGACATTAGGTTACAAAAGTGTCCTGATTTCTTCCTCTTGCTCTCTTGCACTAAGAGACACCAGTTGCCACATAAGAGACACCTTATGAAGACAGCTGTCCTTCCTGAGGGAAACCTCTGGCAAACAAACTGTGAAGGGCTGAGGTCATTGGTCCCAAAGCCAAACTGTAGCTTCATTGTGTTTCAGTGAGCCCAGCAGACCCAGTTGCCTCAGTCAAAACTGAGATAACTCTAGTCCTGGCCTACTCCTTGATTGTGGCATCATAGGAAGTCTTGAACCAGGGCGCTCAATGAAGCAATGCTTGCTTCTGAATCCACCGACACTGGCCGAGAAGAAATGTTGCTAAGGACTAAATTACCACAGACAGATGTTTCAGAGCATTTAGTGTTGTTGTTTTTGACCAACTGCCTTTGTCACAAGGCACAAAATAGCGCCAGATGAAGGAGCAATTGTGAAACAGATGAAATACCTGTGAGACTTGCTTCAGCAATGCCCACCTCCACACGCAGTCACCTTTAACTCCCACAGCCAAGATGGGCCATCCTCAGTGCCCCACCCAGAGCTGCACCGTTCTCCTTTTGGTTGCTAGCCACGGTCTCAGATGGCCCAGCTCTTAGAAATTCCTAATGGGCAACGGTTACTCACTGGAGATAATAGTGGGTGTGCAGTTGCATGTTCATAATATATAAGTAATAATCGGATGTACCACATCACATGACCAGTGGGCAGTGGAAAGTCTCCACAGATGCACAACACCGGTTGCTCCCCCATGCTCCTCCTTGCCATCTGTCACCCAGCCACAGACTTCTGTGTGCTAGCCTGATGCCGTTTGGGCACATGTCAGATGAAGCCAGAAATGTGAAACCCATTTCTTGCCTGCTACTTAGCAACACAGTGGC